TTTCCCTAAACCCCCTTTCAAAAAAGGGTTATTTTCTCAAAACCCCAAACAGCACGTCAAGAAAAAAAAAAACCATCGTCTCCATTCACCCCTACAAACACGCTCACGCAGCCTGCTGGAAGTAAAACCCCCTCGCACACAAAACCCCTTTACCCCCTCCCCCCAAACCCTTTTCCCCTAGGCCGACCCTTCCCCCCCGCCTTCCTTCCCTACAGATTTAATACACTCTTAAAGGTAAATTCTTTTTCGCTCCATTCTCTCTACATGTCCCCACCTTAAAACCCAAAAAACCTTTCCCCTCACCCCCTTGGAAAAACATTTTTGGAAAACCCCCCGAAACCTCCTCCTAATTTCCCCAAATTTACGAATTCCTGCATTATATTCAAAACCCCCCCAAAAATTGCTCTCGGGACATAAATTTTCCACTGCCTCCAGCCTTCTCCTTGCTGAAACCTTTAAATCACCCAATTCACACCCATAAAAAGAGTTTGGAAAAAACTATGCTCTCAAAACATTCCCCTCTTTCCCTCCAAGGACAAAGTTCTTTGTCTCCACAGACTCCTAATGAAACCACTCCCCTTTTTTTCCCTCATCAATTCTATGATTCACCTCTTTTTTCTACCCCCCATCCGCTGACACTTTCCATTTCCCAAATATCTAAATTACGTTCCCCTTTCCTACTTATTTCTCCCCTCCAATTGTTTTTTCAATCTTTCATCACCTAATCTTTTTGTTTCCTCTTAAAACCCTTTCCTTTCCTGTATTCACCCTTTTAAATTTTTTTCTTTTTGCCCCCCCTTAAACCCAAAATTTATCCACCAATCTCTGCAATTCTCTTCGGAAACTCCCCAAAACACAGTGTCAACAGCAAAGGGGAGCTGTGACAACTCCCACTTTTTTGTGTGTTCCTTTTTCTTTTAACTCCAGCCCCTTGCCCCAAAACCCAGCATTTACTTCTTTCAACCCCCTCTTTAAAAATATTAAACAACCCCGGTGACATCACACATCCTTGTCTAAGGCCTACTTTTACTGGGAAATTTAATTTTTCCCTCCCTTTTTACATAAATCTAACTTTAGTCTCCTATCCTCGTTTAAAACCTTCACCCGCTTTCAGTAACCTACCTCCTACACCCCTAAAACTTTCAAAATCTGCCCCATTGCCCCCCTATCCACCCTGTTTATAGCCTTTTCCAAATCCAAAAAATGCCACAAAGACCTCTTTAACCTTATTTAAATAAATGGGTTTACTTTTTATTTTCACTGTAAACCCCTTGGGGCCCACCACACCCCCCCCCTTTCCAAAAGGGCCTTTCCTTTTTCATCTGCTATCCTAATTCCCCCGTCTTTACTCTTAATTCTTTAATAATTTCCCACTTTTTTTTCTCCCCCTTTTCCCCCCCCAATTTTTACCTTTTTTTCCCCTTCCTTTATACAAAAAAATCTGCCCTTTCCAAACCCATACCTTCCCTTTCCCCTCATTTTTAAAAATCCCCCCCAAAAAAACCCCCCCTTTTTCCCTTTTTCCCTTTTTCCTCAAACCCCGCCTTACCCCTTTTTTTCACTCCCCCCGAAAAAAAAAAAAGGCCCCTATTAAAAAAGGGCCCCCTTTTTAAAAAATTACAGTCCCCTTTTTTAACAAAATTTAAAAAAAAAATTTCCCTATCTTCCCTTTTAAAAATTCAATAAAACCCCCCCTTTTTTAAAACCCCCCGGGGGGGGTTTTTGGGTCACGCACCTGCCCGAAAAAAAAAATTTTTTTTTTTTTTCTTTTAAAACTTAGAGAATCTTTTTGTGAAGGTAATAAAACAAAAAAAACAAAATTTGGGAAAATTGACGAAATTATGCTCTCGCGAATTTTTTTTGTGTCAGCGTATTTAGAATCGGCGATTTGCCAAACTTGACCCCCATTTTGGGCCAATTACATTTTCCAATCAAAAAAATTCTTAGCTTTTCACTGTTTCTTCTATTCTATCGTTGAACACAAGAAATCCCCAAGAAAAACTGTTTCAACTACAAAAAAAAGTGCGGAAATTTTTAAATTTGGCCCAAATTTTAACACAAAGTTCAAAATATTCCAATCTAAAATAGGGCCAGTGAACAATGTAGGCTTTCCCGCACTAAACTAACATTTCCTTTCATTAGTTATGTTTTGAGGCTTACAAATAAATTCCTTTTTGTTTTTTTTATTCACATAATAAATTTTTTATTCACCCCCAAAAAAAATAGAAGTTTACTTTTAGCAATACTTAAAAATTTGTATAAATATCATCACCATTTTTGGAATGTTATTAGACCCACCACCGACGTGTTTTTTAAGGTGGGGTCTTTTGTTTACTCTTGAATACGGCAAAATTTAAATTCTGTATTTTGAGCTCGGTTTCAAGCCATTTCCATCAAAAACCAATCAAAATATCTTATTTCTGTAATATGTCTTCCCTTCTATCAAATGAGCCCAAGAAATGCAATCAACTATAAAAAACATACGAAAAAAAAAACTGCAAAGTTGCTTTTTTAAATCGAAAATCAAATTTCTTTTTTCTCTCATTTACACAGCGTGCTGCAGGATTGTTTTATGGGGTGCACAATACCACTTAGATGTATTCTCTCATATCTGGGCCCCAAATGTCCACTCACAGTTTACAAGTGAGCTGAGCTCTGGCGTAGTCTACGGTTTGGACCCCGAACTAAAGCCGTAGATCTACGGGACGGACCTGAAAGGGTTAAATGACAAATCCATTTGTTCTCTAGGGTTTCTTAATTTGTTAATTTTATTTTTTTTTTATTATCAACTGGCCCCATTCCCCCAAGGCAGGGTGGCCCAAAAAAAAAAACTTTCCCCTCACACTCCATCACGTCTTGCCAGAAAGGGGGCTTTTCACTACAGTTTTTAAACTGACATTAAAACCCCTCCTTCAGAGTGCAGGCACGTATTCCCATCTCCCGGCTCAAGTCGGCCGCCGGTTTCCCTGAATCCCTTCATAAATGTTTATTTTGCTCACACTCCAACAGCACGTCAAGTTTAAAAACATTTGTCTCCATTCACTCCCATCAAACACGCTCACGCATGCCCGCGGAAGTCCAACCCCTCGCACACAAAAACCTCCCTTTACCCCCTCCGCCCAACCCCTTCCTAGGCCCACCCCTTTCCCCGCCTTCCCTTTCCCCTCAGATGATACACCCAAAAATTTTTTTATTTTTTAAAAAAATTTGTTGATAACCTTTTCCCCCCACTCTTATTTGTCTCTTTTTCATTCTTCACCACTCTCTTAACCTCTTCTTTTTCTCCAAATTTTTCCCTTTCCCCCCTTGCATCATTCTATTTGTAAAAAATTCCATATGCTAATTTTTCTCCCCACTACTCTCTTCACATCATCATTCCACCAAGTCTTTCCCCCCCCCCACCCCACTTTTCCCGTAACCACAAATTTGTGAAACTCTAAACTACATTTTTAAACCACCCCCTCCTCTTTTGACCCCCATTGCCTATGTTTTTTTTTTTATTAGCCATCTATCCCCCAAAAGTGTTTTTATTCTTACCCTAACTGCCCCCTCTTTTTGTTTATAAACCTTCACCTCCTCTTCCCCGATGCTTATTTCCTTGTATCCCCTCTACCTTTTACTTCATTAGCTCAACTAGAAAGTGACTGTATATCTGTGGCCCCTATAAAATTACATCCCCGAAATCTACTCAACAGTCTTTTATTACCAAAAATAATCAAAAAAAACTACTGAATTTTGCCCTACATCATATTTGTTACTTTTTATCCTTTTTTCTTAAAATTGTATTACCTATAACTAAACCCTTTTTATACAAAGTTCAATCAAAGGGCTCCCATTATCATTTACACCTGGCACCCCAAACTTACCTACCACACCCTCTCTAAAAGTTTCTCCTACTTTAGCATTCAGGTCCCCTACCACAATTACTCTCTCACTTGGTTCAAAGGCTCCTATACATTCACTTAACATCTCCCATAAATCTCTCTCTTCCTCTGCATTCCTCTCTTCTCCAGGTGCATACACGCTTATTATGACCACTTCTCGCATCCAACCTTTACTTTAATCCACATAATTCTTGAATTTACACATTCATATTCTCTTTTCTCCTTCCATAACTGATCATTTAACATTACTGCTACCCCTTCCTTTGCTCTAACTCTCTCAGATATCCAGATTTAATCCCATTTATTTCCCCCACTGAAACTCTCTACCCCCTTCAGCTTTGTTTCGCTTAGGGCCAGGACATCCAACTTCTTTTCATTCATAATATCAGCAATCATCTGTTTCTTGTCATCCGCACTACATCCACGCACATTAAGCATCCAGTTTTATAAAGTTTTTCTTCTTCTCTTTTTTAGTAAGTGTCTACAGGAGAAGGGGTTACTAGCCCATTGCTCCCGGCATTTTAGTCGCCTCATACGACACGCATGGCTTACGGAGGAAAGATTCTTTTCCACTTCCCCATGGACAATAGAAGAAATAAAGAAGAACAAGAGCTATTTAGAAAAAGGAGAAAAACCTAGATGTATGTATATATATATGCATGTGCGTGTCTGTGAAGTGTGACCAAAGTGTAAGTAGGAGTAGCAAGATATCCCTGTTATCTAGCGTGTTTATGAGACAGAAAAAGAAACCAGCAATCCTACCATCATGCAAAACAGTTACAGGTTTTTGTTTCACAGTCATCTGGCAGGACGGTAGTACTTCCCTGGGTGGTTGCTGTCTACCAACCTACTACTACTACCAATGGTAGATGTGTTCTTTTATATGGGTCACCATTCCCTTGCCAGGTGACAGCCATCAGGGTATAAAAATTCTAAAAAATATTTTTGTTTACCTCGACGGCTGTGCCCCACCAGACAAGAGTAACCCGAAGGCGTATTCGGGCAAACTCAGGACTATCTTAACAATAAAAAGGCAATAACTAATTGACTGCACTTAGAAGAAATACTGAATACATTCTGGCCATTCTAGATTATCATTAAGTTACAACTGCAGGTTAAATGGTTAAATCTAAAACACAGGCAAGATAGTTGAATCTAAGTTCAGGTTTCCTGTGAAGAGTACAGACTGCCATCACGACAATACCCACCACTTTGATGTACTCAAACATCTCAATGATGGCAGAGTCCAAGAGGTTGTATCTGCCGTTGTTACGGACAAATGCGTCAACGACTGGCGCGAAGAGATTGGAGTTGATGATGTGACGGTTGTAGAAGTCATCGCGCAGGCCGATGATCTTCCTCATAAACCGAAGAGCACCTGTTGATGACAAGTATCGCTAATGAAGAACAAGCCACAATGCTGCCTATAAGGGCAAAAAATCATGGAATGGATGCTGCATGTAAGAAAAAAATCATGGAATGGATGCTGCATGTAAGAAAAAAAATCATGGAATGGATGCTGCATGTAAGAAAAAAAATCATGGAACGGATGCTGCATGTAAGAAAAAATGATAGGAAAATCATGGAACAGATGCTCCATAAGAAAGAAATCATGGAACAGATGCTGCATGTAAGAAAAAATCATGGAACAGATTCTGCATGTAAGAAAAAATCATGGAACAGATGCTGCATGTAAGAAAAAATCATGGAACAGATGCTACATGTAAGAAAAAATCATGGAACGGATGCTGCTTATGAGAAAAAATCACAGAACGGATGCACAAAAAAACATTGAAAAAATTATAGAACAGATTATGCACATAAAATCATGGAACGGATGCTGCATATAAGAAAAAAATCATGGAACAGATGCTGCATATAAGAGCAAAAATCACAGAACAGATGTTGCCTATAAGAACATTTGCAAGTGGAATGGTCACTCCGACAAGCTGCAGGTAAAAGACACGCGTACAACGATCACAACATTAACCCTTTGAGGGTTTTGGTCGTACTAGTACGTCTTACGCGTAGGGGTTTTTGACGTACTAGTACGCATAAATTCTAGCGGCCTCAAATCTAGTGGGAGAAAGCTGGTAGGCCTTCATATGAAAGAATGGGTCTATGTGGTCAGTGTGCACAGTCTAAAAAAGATCCTGCAGCACACAGTGCATAATGAGAAAAAAAAACTTTGACCATTTTTTTGGAATAAAACAGCGACTTTGCAGTGTATTTTCGTATGGTATTTATTGTTGTATTCTAGTTTTCTTGGTCTCATTTTATAGAATGGAAGACATATTACAGAAATTGAGATGATTTTGACTGGTTTTACAAAGAAAGGTGCCTTGAAAATTGAGCTCAAAGTAGCAGAAATGTTCGATTTTTACCAAACTTCAAAGTAAACAAATCGTGCCAAGCGTGCAATACACGTCAACTGGTGAGTCTAATATTCTTTCACAAGTGCACCAATAATATTTATACCATTTTTTACACTAATGCAGTAGTCTGCATAACAGTAAATCTTATATTTTTTGTGAAAATAAAAATTCAAAGTGGAAAGCAAAAGAATATAAGAGGGGCCTTGAGACATGACTAATGATAGAGGAAATGTCATTTTAGTGCCAGGAATGTCTTTCTTGTTTATTCTGGACCCTATTCGGAAATTGGCATCTTTTGAAATTTGTGTGAAATTGGCAAAATTGCTAAATTCTGACCACTGTACTGGATAGTAGAATTTCATAAATGAGTGGTTTCTTGCACCCATTCGATAGAAAAAATGGAGTTCTATCGAAATATTCATGTTTTTTGTCGACTAGTACAGTGAAATTGGCCGAAAATGGGGCTCAAAGTGGGCAAAATCGCCGATGCGTAAACATCGCCGAGACCGCTAACTTTGCGAGAGCATAATTCCGTAGGTTTTCTATCAAATTTCAAACTTTTGGTGTCTTTATGATCGGGAAAAGATTCTCTATCTTTTCATAAGAGAAAATAATTTTTTTTTTTTTTAAATTTGGCCGACCCTGAGAACGAGTTTCGGAGAGGGCCTGTCGACCCTCAAAGGGTTAAGGAAACGTGCCGCCACAAGTGGCAAAAAGTTTCCTCAATAAATATGAGTGCGTATGTCTTGACCTGCTATAACAGTGCTCAAATTAATCCATAACTGTGAGAGGAAAGTTTAGAGGATGTTTTGGCTCGTACTTTACGGGTGGTTCTCGACCTATGATACAGCTAGGTTCTGACGAACCCATCCTAAGTTGATAATGTCCTAAGTTGATAATATTGTAAGTTGAAAATATTACAAGTTGAAAACACTAAGTTGAAAATATTTTAAGTTGAATATGAATACAATATGGTAAAATAATAAGAAAATAAATAGCTACTGTCACTGAATAAATAAATAATTACTATAACTAAATGCCAGTATTTAAAAGTCAATAACCGAACACGTTATGGACTCGTCACCTTCATGTTGGGTAATTATCTTAAGTATTATCGTAAAGTTGAACCATAGTAAGTCGAGGACTGCCGGCATAGCAGCTCTGAAATCGATCTACAATTGGAAGAGGAAAGCTTAACCCTTTGACTGTTTCAGGCCCCTTCTGAAACTGTCATTCTATGTCGCTAAATTTAAAAAAAAAAAAAAATATTTTTTCTTATGAAATGATAGAGAATCTTTTCCCGATGGTAATGACGCCAAACTCATGGAATTACGCTCCCGCGAAGTTATCAGTCTCGGCGACATATGCGTATCGGTGATTTCGCCGACTTTGAGCCCTTTTTTCAGTCAATTCCATTGTTCCAGTTGACCAAACTCATAGCTATTTCTTTAGAACTCCATTTTATCTATCAGCTGAGTACAAGAAACCTCCCATTTACCAATTTGGACTACCCAATATTGTGGTCAGAAATTGGCAATTTGGCCAATTTCACGCAAACTAAAAAAGATGCCAATTTCAAAATAGGGTCCAGAATAAACAATGTAGACATTCTTGGCACTAAAATAACATATCTTCTGTTCATTAGTCACATCTCTAGACCCCTCTTATATTATTATTGCTTTCTATTTTGATTTTTTATTCATACAAAAAAATACAAAATTTACTGTTATGCAGACTACTGCATTATTGTAAAAATGGTATAAATAATATCAGTGCACTAGTGAAAGAATATTAGACTCCCCAGTTGACGTGTATTGGACGTGTGGTGTGATTTGTTTACTCCTGAATATTGGTAAAAATCGAACATTTCCGCTACTTTGAGCTCAGTTTCAAGGTCGTTTTCATCGTCAAAGTAATGAAAATCATCTCTATTTCTGTAATATGTTTTCCATTTTATGACCCAAGACCATGAAAACGCAAATACATCAATAAATACTATACGAAAATACACCTCAAAGTCGGCGTTTTAACCCTTTGAGGGTCGACAGGCCCTCTCCGAAACTCGTTCTCAGGGTCGGCCAAATTTAAAAAAGAAAAAAAATTATTTTCTCTTATGAAAAGATAGAGAATCTTTTCCCGATCATAAAGACACCAAAAGTTTGAAATTGATAAGAAAACTTACGGAATTATGCTCTCGCAAAGTTAGCGGTCTCAGCGATGTTTACGCATCGGCGATTTTGCCCACTTTGAGCCCCATTTTCGGCCAATTTCACTGTACTAGTCGACAAAAAACATGAATATTTCGCTAGAACTCCATTTTTTCAATCGAATGGATGCAAGAAACCACTCATTTATGAAATTCAACTATCCAGTACAGTGGTCAGAATTTAGCAATTTTGCCAATTTCACACAAATTTCAAAAGATGCCAATTTCGGAATAGGGTCCAGAATAAACAAGAAAGACATTCCTGGCACTAAAATGACATTTCCTCTAGTCATTAGTCATGTCTCAAGTCCCCTCTTATATTATTTTGCTTTCCACTTTGAATTTTTATTTTCACAAAAAATATAAGATTTACTGTTATGCAGACTACTGCATTAGTGTAAAAAATGGTATAAATATTATTGGTGCGCTTGTGAAAGAATATTAGACTCACCAGTTGACGTGTATTGCACGCTTGGCACGATTTGTTTACTTTTGAAGTTTGGTAAAAATCGAACATTTCTGCTACTTTGAGCTCAATTTCAAGGCACCTTTCTTTGTAAAACCAGTCAAAATCATCTCAATTTCTGTAATATGTCTTCCATTCTATAAAATGAGACCAAGAAAACTAGAATACAACAATAAATACCATACGAAAATACACTGCAAAGTCGCTGATTTATTCAAAAAAAATGGTCAAAGTTTTTTTTTTTTCATTATGCACTGTGTGCTGCAGGATTTTTTTTAGACTGTGCACACTGACCACATAGACCCATTCTTTCATATGAAGGCCTACCAGCTTTCTCCCACTAGATTTGAGGCCGCTAGAATTTATGAGTACTAGTACGTCAAAAACCCCTACGCGTAAAACGTACTAGTACGACGAAAACCCTCAAAGGGTTAATCCAAAAAAACGATCAGCTTTTTTTTCTCATTACGCACTGTGTGCTGCAGGATTTTTTTTATGTGGTGCACACTGACCACACAGACCCATTCTCTCACATGTGGGTCTACCAGCTTTCTTCCTCTTGATTTGAAGCCGCTAGAATTACTGAGTATATATACGTCTGAAACACTGGCTCGTAAGACGTATACAATGTATATACGACCAAAACAGTCAAAGGGTTAAGAGGACATTTTGGTTTCTTATGGTATTATCAGGTCTTGGTTTCAATTCTGACAAACCCACAATGGATCGGAACATTGTCTGCTTTCCTCTCCACAAAACAGTTTATTGCACCAACTCTCCTCTCCAGAAAACATTTATTGTACCAACGTGAAATTGTGAAATGCATGCAGGTGGTTGTCGACGTACAATATTTCGACTCTACGATGATGCAGCATCAATTGCTTTGGAGATGAAACTTAAGATAATTACCCAGCATGAAGGTGGCAAGGCCATAACTTGTGTTCATTTAATTTTTCAATACTAGTACAGTGGACCCCGCTTAACGATTACCTCCAAATGCGACCAATTATGTAAGTGTATTTATGTAAGTGCGTTTGTATGTGTATGTTTGGGGGTCTGAAATGGACTAATCTACTTCACAATATTCCTTATGGGAACAAATTCGGTCAGTACTGGCACCTGAACATACTACTGGAGTGAAAAAAGTTCGTTAACCGGGGGTCCACTGTATTAAGTTACAGTAATTAATTATTTACTTATTCAGTAGCACTAGTTATTTATTTGTTTATCAATTTAGCATACTGTATTCATATTCATAAGGATAACGAAAAAATTAGGTAATGAAGATTGGATATCAGACTGGAGGGAGAGAGTATGGAGGAGGTGAATGTATTCAGATATTTGGGAGTGGACGTGTTACTAGATGTGTCTATGAAAGATGAGGTGAATCATAGAAGTCATGAGGGGAAAAAGGGTGAGTGGTGCACTGAGGAGTTTGTGGAGACGAAGAACCTTATCCATGAAAGCAAAGAGGGGAATGTATGAGAGTATAGTTATATCAACGTTCTTGTATGGGTGAGAGGCATGGGTTGTGAATGTTGCAACAAGGAGAAGGCTGGAGGCAGTGGAGATGTCATGTCTGAGGGCAATGTGTGGTGTGAATATAATGCAGAGAATCAGTAGTTTGGAGATTGAGGAGGGGTTGCTGAGATGGTTTGGACATGTAGAGAGGATTGAACGAAATAGAATGACTTCGAGAGTGTACAGATCTGTAGTGGAGGGAAGGCAGGCTAGGGGATGGCCTAGGAAAGGTTGGAGGGAGGGGGTAAAGGAGGTTTTGTGTGTGAGGGGCTTGGACTTCCAACAAGCATGCATGAGTGTGTTAGATAGGAGTGAATGGAGACAAATGGTTTTTAGTATTTGACGTACTGTTGGAGTGTGAGCAAGGTAACATTTATGAAGGGATTAAGAGAAACCGGCAGGCCAGACTTGATTCCTGGAGATGGGAAGTACAGTGTCTGTACTCTGAAGGACGGGTGTTAATGTTGCAGTTTTATAACTGTAGTCTGGCAAGACAGTGATGGAGTGAATGATGGTGAAAGTTTTTCTTTTTTGGGCCACCCTGCCATGGTGGGAAATGACATGGAGTGAATGATGGTGAAAGTTTTTCTTTTTTGGGCCACCCTGCCATGGTGGAAATGACCAATGTGTTAATAAAAAGCAAAATAATTCATATTAAACTTACGATATTTTCAATTTACGGTATTTTCAATTTACAGTGTCTTCAACTTACAGTGTCTCCAGCTTTTGCGATATTTTCAATTTATGACTGGTTCGCAAGTCAAGGTTCACCTGTATGTTGAAAGTATTTATGTTCTCATTTCACACATTACACTGAATCTTGGACAACTTAGGTCCTAAATGAGAAAGTGGATAAAAGAGAATCGTACTTACTAAGCACAAGGAATGTGTGTTTGGACTTCATCAAGACGAGGATTCGTTTGAGCAGGTCTCGTTGGACTATGTAGTTTTTGATGTGGTATGTGTGGTGCTCCACACAGAAGGCTAGCAGTTCCAGAATGAGGGCCAGGAGCTGTGCCGAGGGGTAGTCCTCGCGACCCACCTCGTCGCCAACCGTGTTGGATAGTAGTGGTGCTGCAACAGAGTAGAAACAAGAAATAAAAAAAATATTTGCATTACAGGCAGGTCCCACTTTACAGCATTTTGCTAACACAGCAGTTTACAATTATAGCCATTTTTCATTTACATTAAGCCTCCAACTTACGAACACATTGGGGACCTTCTGTATAGCATATAATAATGATATCACACAATACAGAATTCTCAACGTGTTCATAAGTTGAGATCTTACTGGATTCAAACTCCCTACAAAAATACATATTCACCATTCGGTAAGCATAAACATATTTTTAGGCAAGTAGTGTATTGTATATACAGTGGACCCCCGGTTTACGATCAGCTCCCAATGTGACCAATTATGTAAGTGTATTTATGTAAGTGCATTTGTACGTGTATGTTTGGGGGTCTGAAATGGACTAATCTACTTCACAATATTCCTTATGGGAACAAATTCGGTCAGTACTGGCGCCTGAACATACTTCTGGAATGAAATATCAAAAACCAGGGGTCCACTGTACATTCTTAAGCCTAGTTCTATTGCTTACTTAATCTATAATACTGCAAACATGTCAGCAGGCTTTTATATGCATTTAAAAGAGGAAAAAAAATGATTCACCTTATAGCAATTTTTGTTCCATGGAAGTAGCCCGGAACCTGACACAAAATTAGTGGTGTATTATGCATGCATCGCAAAGAAAAAATATAACGCTTATTTTACAAGAAACTACATACAGTGGACCCCCGAGTTTCGGCAGCCTCGACTTTTGCAAAATTCGACCTTTGACAAGTTTTTTTTTTTTTTTTAAATTTGGCCTCGAGTTTCGTGAAAAAACTTGTTTCGGCGACCGTCCGGTACCCGTCCACCCGTCACCGCTCACACAAAGCCAGTCTCCCACGCAACTCACGCTCAGTGTGCCATTGTTTACCAACATGTGACCATCACCCCACTGGTTCATGCAATACATTTCATAATAATCCATTGTTTTTTGTGCTTGCAACTGCTAAATAGGTCATCATGGACCAAAGGAAAGCTAGTGCAAGCCCTTTGGTAAATAAAGTGAGTGACGGGGATGTGGAAGAGTTGGTGGAGGACCACAGGGAAGAGCTAACCACTGATGAACTGCAAGAGCTTCAACTGGAACAGCATCAGACCACAGCCGAGGAACTTACTTCAGAGGAGGAGGAAGGAGTGGATGAGGTGCCTTCTTCAGTGATTAAGGACATGTGTGGAATGAGTTGCTAAGTTTTGTTGAAAAGCATCACCCTGACCAAGCTGAAACAAGCCGTATCTGCAACATGTACAATGACAGTGTTGTGTCCCACTTCAGGGAAATCTTAAAGAAACGCCAGAAAAAGACCTCTCTGGATAGATATTTTGTGCGCCAGGGGTCCAGTGACTCTCAAGTTGTTCCCACTGGCATTAAAAGAAGAAGGGAAGTAACCCCAGATAAGGACTTGCTACCTAAAGTCCTAATGGAAGGAGATTCTCCTTCCAAACAATAGTGAACACCTTCCTCCTATCACCTCCTCCCGTCTTCCATCCACGCAGAAGTCTTCAGTAAAGGTAAGTGTAATGTTATTATTTATTTATTTTAAATGCATGTACTTGATTTCTGATTTTCATTATGTAAATCTTTATTTAATTTGAAAAAAAAAATTTATTTTAATATTTTTGGGTGTCTGGAATGGATTAATTTTATTTCCATTATTTCTTATGGGGAAAATGGTTTCGAGTTTCGTGAATTTCGACCTTCGGCGGGCTCTCTGGAACGGATTAATCACGAAACTCGAGGGTCCACTGTATTTATATTGATATTTCATATTTTTACATTTCTGAATGATTTTTTAGTACACCTACCATTCGACTTACGACCGAGTTCGGTTCCGAGAAACCAGTCGTAAGTCGAAATGGTCGTAAGTTGAACTTTACTACTGAATATCAACAAAACATTTTTGTAATGACTTTATTTTGTTTTATTTTGGTATTTCATGTTTTACTTCACTTTTTATGTTGTTAGTACTGTATTTTATACTGTAAGGTTTAGGATAAACACTATGTACAACACAAATACTGGTTTATTTCCCAGAAATTTGGCATAAAAAACACGGTCGTAAGTTGAGTGGTCGTAAGTCGGATGGTAGGTGTATTTATAAAATACAGTAGAACCCCCGCAGTATCCACCAATTCGGTATCCGCAGTTTCAGTTATCCACAGTTTGTCAGATAACCGAAGTCCTGAACAGGCACGTAAGTTCCCCCCCCGTCTTTCAATAACATGTTTATTTTTCCCCTATAATCTACCTTGTCCATAATTAGTATCACATTTGCTTTGTTTGGTAAAGTCTGGGATCTTTCCTTAATTCATGTTATAACTTAACAAGTCTGTGAGGACAAGTGTATTAAGAACATAAGAAATAAGGAACACTGCAACAGGCCTACTGACCCATGCGAAGCAGGTCCATGCCACCTCCCGGCCTACAACGAACACCTAGTCAGGTCACTTCCACGTAATGAAGGAGCACAGCACCAGACCTGGTAGCACAAGTTAGTCAGGTCCAACTCACACCCACTCATGTATTTATCCAACCTGTTTTTAAAACTACACAAGGTCTTAGCTTCTATGAGGGTACTCGGGAGTTTGTTTCACGCATCAACAACTCTAAAATAATCACACATAAAGTGGGAGTTGTCACAGCTGCTCTTTGCTGATGACACTGTGCTCTTGGGAGATTTTGAAGAGAAGTTGCACAGGTTGGTGGATGAATTAGGTAGGGTATGTAAAAGAAGAAAATTGAAAGTGAATACAGGAAAGAGTAAGGTTATGAGGATAACAAAAAGATTAGGTGATGAAACATTGGATATCAGATTGGAGAGAGAGAGTATGGAGGAGGTGAATGTATTCAGATATTTGGGAGTGGACATGTCAGCAGATGGGTCTATGAAAGATGAGATGAATCATAGAATTGATGAGGGGAAAAGGGTGAGCGGTGCACTTAGGAGTCTGTGGAGACAAAGAACTTTGTCCTTGGAAGCAAAGAGGGAAATGTATGAGAGCATAGTTTTATCAACGCTCTTATATGGGTGTGAAGCATGGGTGATGAATGTGGCAGCAAGGAGAAGGCTGGAGGCAGTGGAGATGTCATGTCTGAGGGCAATGTGTGGTGTGAATATAATGCAGAGAATTCGTAGTTGGGAAGTTAGGAGGAGGTGCGGGATTGCCAAAACTGTTGTCCAGAGGGCTGAGGAAGGGTTGTTGAGGTAGTTCGGACATGTACAGAGAATGGAGAGAAACAGAATGACTTCAAGAGTGTATCAGTCTGTAGAGGAAGGAAGGCAGGGTAGGGGTCGGCCTAGGAAAGGTTGGAGGGAGGGGGTAAAGGAGGTTTTGTGTGCGAGGGGCTTGGACTTCCAGTGGGCATGCGTGAGCGTTTTGATAGGAGAGAATGGAGACAAATGGTTTTTAATACTTGACGTGCTGTTGGAGTGTGAGCAAAGTAACATTTATGAAGGGATTCAGGGAACCTGGCAGGCCGGACTTGAGTCCTGGAGATGGGAAGTACAGTGCCTGCACTCTGAAGGAGGGGTGTTAATGTTGCAGTTTAAAAACTGTAGTGTAAAGCACCCTTCTGGCAAGACAGTGATGGAGTGAATGTTTTTCTTTTTCGGGGCACCCTGCCTTGGTGGGAACCAACCAGTGTGCTAAAAAAAATAATAATAATAATATTAATAATAACAATATTAATAATAATAATCCACAACTCTATTACCAAACCAGTGCTTTCCTATGTCCTACTGTAGAGGTGTGAGCTGTGTTTCACACCTCTACAACACAACAAATCCTCAAGATTTGTTAAGTTAAAACCATGAATTAAGTAAGATCCTGGACTTCACCTTACAAAACAACGCAAATGTAATAGTAATTATGGACAAGGTAGATTATAGGTAGGCTGTGGCTCGTACGTTGGTTTGCGTGCAGCCAGCAGCAACAGCCTGGTTGATCAGGCTTGATCCACCAGGGGGGCCTGGTCACAGACTGGGCCACGGGGGCGTTGACCCCCGGAACTCTCTCCAGGTAAACTCCAGGTCTCCAGGTAATAGAAGACGGGGGAACTTACATGCCCCACATACAGCATCTCCTCATTAACGACAGATTTTCCGTTCCTAAGACCACGTTGGTAAACGAGTACGTCACTAAGTGAGGAGAGGGCTGAAATTGTACTTATACCTGCAGTGAAAGTTCTTGTTTTTGCCTGCCTCCAAAAAGGACCTTTAGTGTGAGCAATACTCCAGACAAGAGAGAACAAGTGATTTGATATATGGTTTAGAAAAAAGCCAGTGGGGCAAAACATTTCTTCAATAGAGATTTCCATATGTTTACGTGTCTCAATCATCAAACAAGTGATCTGATGAGAATCATCACTGGCTTTGGTATCCCAAGTTTCAAATAAACTTTTACCAGGATCGCTGGTAGCTGGGAGTCCTGGTCTTGGAGAGAGCATCAAAGGTCATGTGAAACTCTAAAAACCCAAAATCCTTTGGGTTATTATAATGTTTTTAGGATGCATTTTTGAAGCACCAAGCAGTTGTGGTTTTCCCCAGGTGTTGTGAAGCTCCCGACCTTGTGGTTTTATTTGGGGGTTTTGCATCATTATGGAATATTTGCTTGTAAGCTGACTTCACTTCTATTTTCTGTGGGGTCTCGCCACTTGGACCAGTCAACACATAGCCGTCCAGGAACAGGGCTTGTTTTTCATAATCCTTATTTTGAAAACAGGCAAACCCATATTCCCGGTGTCCCCTGATTCTTCGTGGCATTTTTTCAGCGGTTTTACAGTCCTGTCCCTGCATAATGATGGGACGTTGGCTATAAACACTCCATACCCTGTAGGGTTGGGGATGGTGATGGGGTTGGGGACGGTAATCGGGTTGGGGGATGGTGATGGGGTTGGGAAGGGTAATGATGTTGGGGAGGGATGTTGAGGTACCAGCATCATCAGTAGTAGCAGGTTCTAGCT